TAGACTTCTCAACTGAAACCCTACAGGCCAGAAGAAAATGGAATGATATATTCAAAATACTAAAAGAAAAAAATTGCCAGCCAAGAATTCTTTACCCAGCAAGGCTCTCCTTCTGAAATGAGGGAGAAATAGTGTATTTCCTAGACAAACAAAAACTGTGGGAGTTCACCACCACACAACCTGCCCTGCAAGAAATTCTCAAGGGAGTCCTTCATCTGGAATCTGAATAATGAATGTCACTATCATGGATACACAAGAAAGAGCCAAACCTGCTGTTAAAACAAAAATGCCAGTGAGAAAGAGCAAGAAGCTGAATCATGCCACCTCAAATATCCAACTAACATTGAAGAAGAGAAATAAAAGGGGAAGTAAGGATCAAAATATATTTAAAACATCTAAGCAAAAAGCAATTAAATGTCAGGAATTAAACAATATCTGTCAGTAACTACCCTAAATGTGAATGGATTAAACTCCCCATTCAAAAGGCACAGATTGACTGATTGGATTAAAAAGCTAGACCCAATATATGCTGTTGTCAAGAGACCCACTTCACTTACAGAGACACACACAGACTAAAAGTGAAGGGATGGAAAAAGATATACTGTGCAAATGGAAACCAGAAATGAGTAGCAGTAGCTATTCTTATATCAGATAAAATAGACTTTAAACCAAAAACCATTAAAAGAGACAAAGAAGGCCACTATATAATGATAAAAGGATCCATCCAGCTAGAAGACATAACAATCATAAATATATATGCACCCAATACTGGAGCACCCAGGTATATAAAGCAAACACTCTTAGACCTAATGAAATAAATAGACCCTAATATGTTAATAGTGGGTGACCTGAATACCCCTGTCTCAGTAAGGGACAGATCTTCTAGGCAACAAATCAACAAAGAGACACAGGATTTAAACTACACATTAGACCAACTGGACCTGGCAGATATATACATAACATTTCACCCAAAAAGTAAAGAATATACTTTCTTCCCATCAGCACATGAAAAATTCTCCAGGATAGACCACATATTAGGTCACAAATCTAGCCTAAGCAAATGCAAAAAAATTGAAATCATTCCAATTATCTTTTCAGACCACAATGGACTAAAATTGGAAATTAATAATAAGCAAAACTCTGGAAATTATACAAATACCTGGAAACTAAATGATAGGCTCCTAAGTGACCTATTGGTCCAATAAGAAATTAAACAGGAAATCCAAAAATTTCTGGAAACTAATGAAAATAAAGATACATCATACCAAAACCTGTGGGATACTACAAAAGCAGTACTAAGAGGCAGATTTATTGCAATAAATGCTTACCTCAAAAGAATGGAAAGACTTCAAATAAACAACCTAACACTATGCCTCAAAGAACTTGAAAAACAACAAAAATCCAAACCTATAAGTAGTAGATGGAAAGAAATATTTAGATCAGAGCAGACCCAAATGAAATAGACATCCAAAAAACAATAGAAAAGATCAACAAAACAAAAAGTTGGTTTTTCGAGAAGATAAATAAAATAGACAAATCATTAGTTAGGTTAACTAAAAAAAGAAAAGAGAAGACCCAAATAATAAAAATCAGAAATGAAAAGGCAGACATTACAACCAATACCACAGAAATACAAAGAATCATTAGAGACTATTATAGACAAATGTATGACAACAAATATGAAAATCTGGAAGATATGGATAAGTTTCTAGACACATAAAAACTACCAAGACTGAACCAAGAAGAGGTAGAAAACTTGAACAGACCAATAATAAGCAAGGATATTGAGGCAGTAATGAGCAATCTACCAACAAAGAAAAGTCTGGGTCCAGATGTCTTTACAGCTGAATTCTATCAAACTTAAAGAGGAGGTGATACCAATTGTCCTCAGACTATTCTAAACAATTGAAACAGAAGCTACTCTCCCAAACTCATTCTATGAGGCCAACATAACTCTGATACCAAAACCAGATAAAGACACAGCAAAACAAGAAAATTAAAGGCCAATATCCTTGATGAACCTAGTTGCAAAAATCCTCAACAAAATATTAGCAATCAGAATACAGCAACATATTAAAAAAATTATACGCTACGATCAAGTGGGATTCATCACAGGGATGCAAGGATGGTTCAACATATGAAAGTCAATAAATATGATATATCACATTAACAAATGTAAGGACAAAGACCATATGATTATCTCAATAGATGCTGAAAAAACACTTGACAAAATTCAACATCACTTCATGATAAAGACTCTCAACAAATTAGGTATAGAAGGAAAATATCTCAACACAATAAAAGTCATTTATGACAAGCCCACTGCCAGTATCATCTGAATGGGGAAAAACAGAGGACATTTCCTTTGAGAATAGGAACAAGACAAGGATGCCCCTTCTCACCACTTCTATTTAACATAGTACTGGAGGTACTAGCCAGAGCAATCAGGTAAGAGAAAGAAATAAAGGGAATCTGGATTGGAACATCAGGCAAGATAAAGAAATAAAGGAAATCCAGATTGGAAAATATGAAGTCAAACTTTCCCTATTTGCAGATGACATGATACTATATATAGAAAAACCTAAAGACTCTATCAAAAAACTCCTAGAGGTGGTTAATAATTTCAGTAATGTTGCAAGATACAAAATAAATGCATCCAAATGAGTTGCACTTATATACTCAAATAATGAATTAACAGAAAGAGAAATCAAGAAAGTAAGAAAAAAAAAAAAAAAAACCACCTAGGGATCAATTTAACCAAAGAGGTGAAAGACCTCTACAATGAGAACTACAAACCACTTCTTAAAGAAATTAATAAGACATAAAAAGATGGAAAGATATTCCATGCTCTTGGATTGGAAAAATTAACATTGTGAAAATGTTTATACTACCCAAAGTGATCTACAGATTCAATGCAATCCCCATCAAAATACCAATGACATTCTTCACAGAAAGGGAAAAAACAATCTTACCCTTCATATGGAACAAGGAAAGACCCTGAATAGTCAAAGCAATCCTGAGCAAAAAAAATAAATAAATAAAGCTGGAGGCATAACACTCCCTGACTTCAAATTATACTACAAAGCTATTGTAACCAAAACAACATGGTACTGGTATAAAAATAGACATTCAGACCAGTCGAGTAGAATTGAGAACCCAGAAATCACCCCTCAAGCTTACAGCCATCTGGAAAATGGCAACAAAAATCTACATTGGGGAAAAGACTGCCTCTTCAACAAGTGGTGCTGGGAAAACTGGATATCCATATGCAGAAGAATGAAACTAGATATGTGTCTCTCACCATACACTAAAATCAACTCCAAATGAATTGAAGAGTTAAATAGGCCTGAGACTGTAACATTACTAAGGGAAAATATAGATGAAACACTTCAGCAACTAGGTCTGGACAGAGACTTTATGAACATGAGCCTGAAAGCACAAGCAGTAAAAGAAAAAATAAATAAGTGGGACTATATCAAACTAAAAAGCTTCTGCACAGCAAAGGAAACAATCAAGAGTGAAATGACAACCTACTGAGTGGGAGAAAATTTTTGCCAGCTATGCATCCGATGAGGGATTAATATCCATAATATACAAGGAACTCAAGCAATTATACAGTAAAGAAACCAAATAACCCAATTAAAAAATGGGCAAAGGAGCTGAATAGACATTTTTCAAAGGAAGACATACAAATGGCCAACAGATACATGAAAAAATGCTCAACATCACTAGTCATCAGGGAAATGCAAATTAAAAATACATTGAGATAACACCTCATCCCAGTTAGACTGAGTATAATAAAAATAAATGGTGAATAACAATTGCTGCTGAGGGTGTGGAGAGAAGGGAACATTCCTACACGGTTGGCAGGACTATAAATTAGTACAACCACTATGGAAAACAGTATGGAGATTTTTCAAACAACTACAGATAGATCTTCCGTATGATCCAGCAATCCCACTTCTGGGTATATACCCAGAGGAATGGAAATCATCATGTCAAAGGGATACCTGCACTTCCATGTTCATTGCAGCTCTGTTTACAATAGCCAAGATATAGAACCAACCTAAATGAACATCAATGGATGACTGGATAAGGAAACTGTGGTATATATACACCACAGAATAGTACTCTGCCATAAAAAAGAATGAAATACTCCCATTTGCAGGAACATTGATGAGCCTGGAGAAACTTATGTTGAGTGAAATAAGCAAAGCACAGAGGGATAAATACCACATGTGCTCGCTCATATGTGGGAGCTAAGAGAGAAAGAAGGAAGGAGAGAAAGATCACAGTAGTGCATTGAACTTGCAGAGGGAGAGAACATTCCTTGGGCTACAATGTGGAGTGGGGGGGAAAAGGAGAGGGAGAGGGAGGTTGGGGATAATTGGGTGGGGGACGCAATGTACAAATGCAATTTGTGGTAATGGGTATGCTCTCAGTATGAATCTGGCCCTCACATCATGGGCACAAGGGGTGACAATCAGCTTTGTATCTCATGAATGTTTGTAACCAATAAAAAAAGGGGAAAAAAAAACCCATATGTAGAAGTAATAAATAATTGCTTGCCTATACATAATGGGATTATTAATATAGTTAGGTTTAAGCCTATCATCTTGCCATTTGTTTTCCATTTGTCCCTTCTAGTCCCCCCCCCCTTCCTCCTTTTCTGCTGCCTTCTGGATTATCTTGATCTGGAAGTCCTTTTTGGCCATGATGTTTAAGAGATGAGAAACAAATGAGGTGTGCCCTATAATTGCTACAACTTATAATTGGAAAATTATTAAAACACATAATAGGGAGCAATCATTCACAGATACCAGCATAGAAAGTCCCTAGACAAATTATGGCTGGGTGAGTTCCTGGGTGAGGTACACTCTTTCTATGTAGTTGTACTTCCAAACCCTAGACTTGAGATTAACAGAATCTCCTATTCTTTGTTAGGTGGGCCATGGTTTAAATATCTCCGTATTTTCCCAGAAGAAATCAGATTCACAAAATGAAAGTATGAAACCAGAAGTTTATTACGTAATAATTACACACCTTAACTCCCCGTTGACCTACACTGCAATGCATGTTTGTCACTTATCAATCTGGGGACAGGAAAGAGAGGTGCAGCCAGACAAGAGACTATGTAGGAACCAAGCATTGTGTATGTATCTACATGTTTTAGTTACGCTACCGCAAGGGGGTACAAAACCAGGCACTAGCCTCCAGGAAAATACAATTTTTTTCCAATCTCATTTGGCTCCTCGGCGCTGCCTGAAATAGCGATCATAGGCAGCGTTGTATCCATAAACCATGGCATAGCGTTCGCAAAGTTTGTAGTCATCACAGGCTTCCCTGTTGATCTCATAGACAGGCTTGGAGCGTTCTCGGATTCTAGAAAGTAAAAAAAAAAAAAAAAAAAAAACCAAAATTCAGAAGCATAGACAGTGGAGAAATAAGAAAAAGGAAAAGTATAAGAAAATATCCCCAACCCTACCCCCCAATAGGAAGAGCTATTTGAAAAACAGGGAGAAAAGATGGAAAAGGGGACTTTGTTTTTTAATGAAAATAGATGTTTTCTTTCTGTCCCTTTTTCCTTCCTTCTTCTCCTTCCTTTCCAGGTCTTTCACAAATAGTCTTCCAAAGGTTCAGTTGTTTTCTGTATGCTGTTTTAAAATTCTTTGATTTTAAGACATGATCAGAAATAATACATAAGATTTCAAAAAACCTGTTTCTTACTCCACTCAGATGTGTGATGCGACACTGGGAAAAATGACCTCCCTGAGCACGTGCTATTACTCACCTCTCTTGTGCCTTTGCTCTCCATCTCTGCTGCGGGTATAAGAAGGTATTAGCATTTCTTCTGTTTGTGAAGGGATCTCAAAACAGAAAATAAATGCAGTTTTAGGAAAACAGTAGCTGAAATTATTTCCATGAATATTGCCTGACAAATATATTCTAAGCTCGTTAATTCATATATTTCATGTAATCAGAGATCTGCAAAATAAGAGGAATATGAAGCAGATTTCATAAAGTGCCTGATTAAAAGATATCAATAACCCATCTTTGTGTCCCACAGACTTGTCACATAGCCACGGCAATTTTTGTTTGGCTTTTGGGCAGTCACTTTGCCTTTCCTAATTTTGGTAGTCCTATTCGGTGCGTTTTGCATTCCTTTGATGAGAAATTCTCTCTGTCCTGAGGACTTGTAAAACATAACTCTAGATCACCAGTAAGTGAACAGTTCAAACATTATACAAATAATAGCTAAATTGAAAATGATGGTGATGTGCTACTTCTTCCTGTATTCAGTCGTTGCAAGTGTGGGTATTCGACAGTGGTCAACTTAATGATGACGCCTGCGGTGTCCCAGCCGACTCAGCTGCCAATTCTGTACTTTGCCATTTCTCATTACTCCTCATTTTCCATCTGTGTGACCGATGTGGTGCCAACTTAAAATTTCCAAACAGGATTTTATGGCTTCTAAGTATGTTGAATGTAGTTTAAATGTCATATCACACTACTTCAGGCTTAAAAAATTGCTCATTTGGCAATTTTTATAGTCATTGCATTTTTAAATTTACTTTAGTTTTCCATAAAAGGCCCTGTTTTTCCTCCCTGTTATATGTCTTCTCATTTTATTTATTCAAAAGTAGGGAGAGGTTCTTTAATGCAAGACAGTAAAATAAAGAAGTCAAATATTCACTTACAAATTTCATAGGATTCCATGCTTTCATGAGATTCTGGAATTAAAATAAAAAAGATTCATTATATTGTTATTTATCACATGCTGCAATTGTCTAAATATAGCAATGGAAGGAGAGGAAGAGTCAAAAAGATGTGAAGAATCTATTTAGCAACATTCTTATTACAAATGTCAGGAATTTATGATTTATGAGTTCTTTCTCCATCACTGTCCTCGCTGTGAATATCTCTACATTTTAGTTTATCGAATGTTGTGGGAGATAGTGACAAGTCTTAGCTAAAATTCCCCAACGGCTTTGAGGGCTTCTGATTTGTTCAGGACCTGTTTGAGGATAAGTTCAAGGAAGGTACAGAAGGATCTAGAAAACAGCCAGGTTTCTCCAGGCAGGAGAACTCTGGGGCAGTTGCTCAGCTGGGCTTTACCAGGATGGGTTTCTAAGAGGGTTCAGAAAGCCTCTTAAGAACCCATGTTAAATTGGCAGCCACAGAAACCACTGGCTCCAGCTGAAAACTCACACTGGGCACAATGCCAGTTCAGAGAGAGAACTGGAACAATGCCAGAGCAAGTTTTCCTCTTTCTACCACTCTCCTGAGCATAGCAGGTAAATTGGAGAATAAGAGGTTTATATTTTCAGGCAAGTGAATTTGCTTGAAAAGTTAAAAATAAGGTGAAGAAATCAAATCCTCTGATGGCAAAAATGTGTGAATAATTTCAAGTGAGAAGCATAATACTTATGGCTGTTCATGTAATTTAAGCTTAAAAGCAACTCAAATATCTAGATAATTGAAGCATAGGCTGAATTATATAATTAATGTTGCTTTAAATTTCTTTATGAACTTTGGACAAACAGATACATTCAACAACATATAGAAGCCAGGAACAACTTATTTTTGACAATGAAAGGTATAAAATCATTTTTTTTTTCTAAAATTCTTTAAACGTAAAACTTTATTTTAAAATTAATTTACTAAACAAATGTAGTAAGTTCATGATATTGTCTTATTCCTAGAAAGGGCTATACTTAACACTATACATGAAAACTGATTTTCTTAAAGGTAAGTGATTCAACCAATATCCTTAACCCATTGACACTGAAAAATAAACATCCTTAAAAATGAGAATGCAGGGGCTAGGAATTTGATATCTTCTTTCTCAAATATCTAATTTTCTAGGTATACAGAGACTTACCACTGAAAGAAATTGCCTGTTAAGTTGCATACAAGAATCTAGATATTTAGGATATAAAACAGACTTGATGGAACAGATCTATGTCCATGGAGACTGGGAAATGTTAAATTAATGGTGCTGTAAGATTATAACAGAGAAAGGGGGAAGAAAAGAGGGAGAGAAAGAATGAAAATAAAGTGAAGTCAGACGCAGAGAAGAAAAAACAGAGAAATGGCAGGGAGAAAGGTTTCTCACCATAACACAAAGTCGCCACCACCAAGGCAGCCAGGACGGTGAGAAGGAGCAGGCTCTTCATGGTCTCTGTCGTCCTGCGGTCCGTGCGTTGGTGGGGCGGCCTCAGTGCCGGCTGCAGCAGCAGGAGGGAAAGAGGCTCCTACAGGCTGCTAGTGAAAGGCTGGGAGGTTTTTATAAGAACTAGAGCAGCTGGAAGGGGAGGAACCCGTGGGAGGGGGCTGGAGAAGGTGGGGAAGCGTTGGCACTAAACTAACACTGGGAATTTTCCCAAATATTCATTTCTTCCAGATATTATCTACTCTGGGCGGGCAGTTTTCCCTCTCTCCTGGGCCTGACTGTGCTACGGAAGGTTGCTGCCCTGGTACAGAAGTTGTGGCCACTCCATGTTTGGGGCCAGACCTGGGCAAAGGTCCACAGAGAAGGGAGTTGCCATGAACATCTGTTTGCTTTTCTGATTCCTTCTCTGATCTACCCTCCTGGCCCTAACCACGAGCCTTTTAGGTTTGGTCCACACACTGAGCAGTAGTGTTCTCACTCCCCTGATGGGTTGAGGAGAGGTTCTGGGGGAAAAGGACTTCATTTCCTTTGATGGCTGTAATTTAGACATAGCCTCAGTAGAGCTGAGCTAGCAATCCCACAGCAGCCAGGCATTTGCCTGGTGATAGGCGCCTTTTTCATTTTTCCGAGGGCTCAGCAAGATAGAGATGTCCAGTAACCCAAGAGTTTCTGTGTCCTCAACTGGCTCTGTTGTAACCTGTCCATCCAGTTTTGTGGCATTAATAAAAACCTGTGCCCTCATGATCTCTTAGGCTGGTTATCATTGACCGAAATTGCAGCAAGAGTTAAGAGGGTACACATCTCTCATTTTTCTGAGGGCATTGTCTTGATAATTAACTGATTCAACAGGCTTTTAGAGAGTGGCAGATGGGAAGAAAGGTGCTGTGCAGTGGGGGATCTGCAGACAACAAGACACATCCTTAAGGAGGTAAGTGATAGCGACTTACTATTCATTTTGCTCCTTAGCTGTAAGGAATCCTCAAATACAGGTTTTCACAGACATGCACTTCCACTCTACCCGCAGGCCCACAGGTACTTTTTCTTCTCTAACAGGAAGATTTCAATTTGGTGCCTCTGGTTATCTTGTAGAGAAAGCTCTGATAAGGATTAAATTGTGTCCCCCATGTTTTATGTATTGAACCTTAATCCCCACTGTAACTATTGAGGGTAGGAAATCCTATTAATGGTAATTGAAAGATAGGGCCTTGAAGAGGTGGTTAGATTCTGAAGACCATGCCCTAATTAATGGATTAGTAATGGTGGTCATGGGTAGGTTCTGAGGGTTTTAGGAAAAGAGCGCATGAGAGTCTCTCTCTCTCTGCTTCTTCCATCTTGCAATGTGATACCCTGTGTCACTGAGGCCACCACAAAGGAAGGCCTTCACCAGATGTGTTCCCTGGACTTTAGACTTCCCAGCCTCAGAAACTATAAGCAATAAATATAGTTTCTTTATAAATTACCTGGCTTCAAGTATTTTTGTTATAAGCAACAGAAATGGACTAATACAGAAAATTGGTACCAGAGAAGTGGGGTGTTACTTATAACAAATACTTCAAAATGTGGAAGCAGCTTTGGAACTGGGTGCTGAGAAGCTAGAATTTGGAGGAACAGACTAGGAAAAGCTTAGATGCTGGTGAGGAGAGTCTGGAATGTCTTAGAGAATGGTTAAATAGTGGTGACCAGAATGCTGATACAAATATGGACTGTAAAGACCATTCTAAGGAGGTCTCAGATGAGAACGGACTTATTGGAAACTGGGGCAAAGATTACACTTGCTATGAACTGGCAAGGAACTTGGCTGCATTGTGTCCATGTTCAAAGTTTTATGGACCATGTAACTTCAAGGTACTTGACCCAGGGTGTTTGGTGGAAGAAATTTCTAAACAGCAAAACATTCAGGATGGCTACTTGCTACTGCCTACACTAAATTATGGCAGCAAAAGCCTGACATAATGCCAGAATTTATGACTAAAAGAGAAGAAGAGCATAAAGATTTGGATAATTTGCAGCTTGGACATGTAGTAGAGAAGCAGAGAGCATTTTCAGGAGAAAAATTCAATGGTGCAGCCCAGTGGCAGTTTGCTTAGGAGATTAGTATGGAAGAAAGGGATCATCAAGAAAAGGGAAAAATGATCTTGAAGGCATTTCAAAGATCTTTGAGGCTGTCCCTTCCATCGAGGCCCAGAGGCCTAGAGAAACAGAATGGTCTCAGGGAACAGGCCCAAGGAGCCCTTCATGGGCTTGCTGCCCAGGGCCACCTCGGGAAGCTGCTTCTAGCACCAGTACCCCAGCTACTTTGGCTGCTCCAGCTGTGGCTAAATCAGCTCCAGGTGAGGCTAGACCTACAGCTTTGGAAAATGCAAGCCAGAAGCCTTGGTGGTGTCCATGTGGTATTAGGTCTGCAGGCTCACAGAATGGGGCCCAGGAAGAGATTTCTGCCTGGGGCAGAATCACCACATGGAACCTTTGCTAGAGCAATGCCGAGTGGAAATGTGGGGTCAGAGTTGCACCAGAGAAACCTCATCAGTGCCATGTCTAGTGGAGCAGTGAAAGTGGGACCACCATGGAGACCCCAGAACTATAGAGCTACCAGCATGCTACACCAGCCTGAGAGAGCTAAAGTGTGGCAGGAGACCAGGAAAGCCATAGAAGCAGAGCTGCCCAAGGACTTTGGGACCCAGCCCCTGCACCAGCCTGCAGAAGACATTGAATGTAAGTCAGGGTACATGATTTGCCAGCTTTGAGATTTAATGCCTACCCTGATGGGTTTCAGACTTGCTTAGGACCTGTTACCCCTTTTTTTGGCCTATATCTCCCTTTTTGAATTGGAATAGATACCCAATGCTTGTACCACCATTCTATCCTGGAAGTAGATAACTTGTATTGATTTCACAAATGGGACTTTGAACCTTGAACTTTTGAGTTGAAACAAGTTAAGACTTTGGGGATAGAATGAATGTATTTACCTGTGAGAAGGACATAAACTTTTGGGGCCATGGGTGGAATGATATGGATTAAATTTTGTCCCCCATGTTTTATGTATTGAAGCTTAATCTCCCCTGTAACTGTTGAGGGTGGGAAATCCTCCTATGGTAATCAAAAGGTGGGGCCTTGAAGAGGTGATTAGATTCGGAGGACCATGCCATAATGAATGGATTAATAGTGGTGATCATGGCTGTGATTCTGAGGGTTTTAAAAGGAGAGCATAAGAGAGTCTCTCTCTGCCTCTTCCATTTCATGTGATACCCTGTGTCCCAGAAGCCACCACCAAGGAAGGCCTTCACCAGGTGTGTTCGCTGGACTTCCCAGCCTCAGAAACTGTAAGCAAAAAATTCCATTTTCTTATAAATTACCCAGTTCCAGGTATTTTGTTAAAAGCAAAGAAATGCACTAACACAAGCTCTTTACTTTTTCTTCTAGGGAAATCAGAAAACCTTTTCTGCCAGTTGTGTCTCTGTTGCTTGGATATACAAGAGTTTTCTCTGCAGATAAACTGACTTGTTTCAGAGCAACAGATTGTAGAAGATCTATAACCTCAGGACTTCTGACTCTTGGGCTAGAACAGGAAAAGGGTTGGGATGGGAGCGGGCGGGCGTACTTTTCAATACCGGTTTATTTCAAGGAGTCATGATGAAAAACTAGGTGGTGTCTTTTGCTTCATTCCTTTTGTCAAATGGCAACTGCACTCTTTTAGCCTCCTGACATCATGACTGTTTGTTTATTTTTACACTCTCTGAGACCAGACTTGAAAATCTCATACTTCTCTTTCCAACTTAAGCTTTACCTTTTATTACAAGTAGTTTTTATCACTGCTTCCACTGGATTCCCTAAACATTTAAGCATTTCTCTTTATCATCTTGGTTTTTGTAAGACTAACATTTTCTTTTGGGAGCAGCCTTTCAATGGTCCTTCATCTTCCCTGTCCACTGCTCTCCGTCTGTTCCTGGATTCTTCTATGCTAAATCTCATTTACATGTGACCCATAAAACTATCAACATGTGTGAGAATTCAGAGCTCTTCCTTTTCTCTTTTCTCTTACCTTTTCTTGTCTCAAAGACAATTATGTAGATGTCCACTCCACTCACGTTTTTATGAAGAGGACTTGGAGTAGCTCAAGCAGGGATGAGGCCTTTGCATTGAGAAAGGCCAAGACTGACTCATCTGAGAGAAGAGATTGTCTCAAAGACAATTATGTAGATGTCCACTCCACTCACGTTTTTATGAAGAGGACTTGGAGTAGCTCATCAAGCAGGGATGAGGCCTTTGCATTGAGAAAGGCCAAGACTGACTCATCTGAGAGAAGAGAGAAGAAAAAAATGAAATAGAAAAAAAAGAGGAAAGGGAGAAATGAGAAGAGCCTTGCAGATTTCACTTGCTGGATGAGTTTTAGGTCAAGATTGAATTGTAGAGAGAAAAACTGAGGCAGCTGTAGGATGCGAGACATATTAAAAGTGGGACATGGGAAAAGACAAATAAGAGTTCCTTTCATTATGAACAGGATTGTTTGAGATTGTAAAACTTTGAGAATTGCCAGAAAATACTGAAATTTTTAAAATTAATTTTGGTGCTAATTTGCATTTTCTTAGTTGAAATATCTTGTAAAAACTAGATCGCATGAAACTCCAGCTTATCTTTGGGTTTTAGACAATCATGAAAGACACTTCTATAGATAGTTTTCCTTAACTAAAGAAAAGTGTTATTTAGTGGAGAGGATATTTGAAGACACTCCCAGAAGTGACGAGAAGGGTATGAGCCAGTGACTTAATTGCCAATTTTTCAAACTGTGCTGGCATCTTCTCACATGAGATTAGTAATGCAGTATCCCAGGCAGCAGAAGTCATAGAACAGTACAAGATCTCCTATTCCACCTGCTCTCAGGAGAAAAAGAGAATCATGACCACACCCTCCAGACTCTAAAGTAACCTCATGGTTTTAGGCATTCTTCCATCCATCCATCCAACCATCCATCCATCCATCCATCCATCCAACCATCAATCCATATGTCCATCCGTCCATCCGTCCG